TCCGGGCGGGGCGGGGGCGGTGTGAGGGCTGGGGGGAAGACGGTCGGTCTCGGGGAGATGGCGGGCAGGAGCCGGGCGGGCCCCGGGCAGGTTCTTCCTCACCAGAGGTGTTGACCACCAGCGCCTCTGCGCCGGGCAGCGCCCTGAGGAGGATCTGCCATGTTGTCCCTGAGGAGGCGCTGGGTAGTACGTGGTCCTAGCCCTAGGTGGGATTAGTCTGTTGCGTCTGTCCGGTAAATGTGAAAATGGGCGATTTCTAATTGCCTGTGCTCCCGGCTCTGTATTCCTGCGATGTTCTTCCACGCTGCTCAGGAGGAAGTGAAGTGCACGCTGTCCCCTTTTCTTTACTCTGGACCGTGCCCTCCAGATCTCAAGCCCATGAGCTCTGTGAGTTATTAACCAAGGGGATGTAAAAACAAGTCGTCTTGTGATGTGAAAGGTCTGTGTCCCCATTCTGCAGAAAATATTTGAAGAAAGTATTGCTGGTTTACTTTGCCAGGTTACAGCTAGGACAAATATAGCAAAGACTGGGAGGTACCTGGATACCTGCATGATGGTGGAGCACTTAAATAATTTTCCCCCACAACAAAAAAAGGCAAAAAAAACCCCCACAACGCCCCCCACACACACATAAAGGGATGAATAGGCGTGAGAATCCCTTGTGGGACTGGCAGTGGTGATTGAAACGGCTGCTAAGGGATAGGACGTGCAGCGGTCGTGCTGTGCCCCTGGCTGATGTTGCAGCACTTAGACTGCAGTCTTTGCTCATTGCTGCAGCAGCCACGGCAGTTCAGTGTGTGACCGGAAAGCAAGGTTGTTGAGGAATACCCAGCACCAAAAATAGAGAAGATTGTCGGAGTAGGAAATAGCTTGTTTTCCTGTGGAGAGAAAGAACCCAACAGAACAACGCGTGGGCTTGTTTGAAGAGGGGCCTGGGTTGATAAGGTGATTCTGTTATAGGTTCTGCTTTCTGCTAAAGTAGTATAAGCCCTGTAGAGCCATTCTAAAGACCTACTATTATAAATTAAATTAACCCCCTTAATTATGTAGCAGTATACCAGGAGAATTATTTGCCTGTGTATGTGGGGTAGGTTTTTCCACTTTCTATAGGGAGGTGAAAATGAGCATTGTGTAACAGCTTAGGCATTTTTCAGGGTATTATGCTCTCTACAACATTAGTATATTAAAAAGGTTTTGGTTTTGTTAATGTTGGTACATTCTTTTAGAGCACGAGGTTACTCACCCAGCAGGTAAAGTCTTCGGTCACTTAAAACCCAAATGACATACTTGCATTTATCCATAACATTTTTGTGTGTTTAGTAGGGAGTCTGGTGCTGTAGAATACAGCACAGGTACAAATACTGGACTATTTGGTGTGCAGTATCAGTAATATCCTAGGTAACCCTGTTTGTTTTGAGATCCTGTTACTGCTTCTGTAGAAATAATAGAAGTTAAGTCCTGAAAGACATAATGCTATTGAATTTCTCGCTGTGCTTAATCTTTGCATGAGGCCCACCTGCACCTTGTTTTCTAGCTGTGCTCATAGACAGAAGAAAGGCAATAATTCCTCTCTTTAATGTTTTCCAGGTTATTCAGAATTAATTCTCATGTCAGCAGAAAACTCAACCATCACAGTCCGTCTTGTTCGCTCTTTTGAACACCGGAACTTCAGACCTTTGGTGTATCATGGAGTTAACTTGGATCAGACAGTAAAGCAGTTCATTACTTTTGTGCGGAAGGGTAAGGGGTGGCTGTCGTATTCATTCACTTCAGTCCCATGTGTTGCTGTCTCTGCATAAGAAAGTGGAGGGAAGCAAATGAATGGGAATTCTGCGGCTTTGGTAGAGATGCCAGATTTGTATTTACATCCCCTCTGTACTCTCCTCCCTTGGATGAGAGTTCTGGAGTTAATAAGAGCTTCCATGGTCAGTGTGCCATGCCTAAATTTGGGAAGACTGCTTCCCCTGCCCAAATTCCCATGTTTAGTCAAAAAAAGACGAGGGCATGGCTGCATTTGGCTTAGTGCCTCAGGCTCCTTGAGTGGTGCTGTCAGGCAGCTGTTCATAAATTAACAGGAATAAATTAATAGAATTTAGAGAGCCTTTGATCCTTAGGAACTACACCAATATGTGGAATGTGGGAACGCAAGTCTGTTTGCTATTTGTGAGGAGAGAGGCTCTTGAAAAATTATTTTTGACACTGTGAGGTCTCACTGTGCATGTTTGCTTCTGAGTTTCTTGTCTCCATCTTGAGCTTTGTGATGCTAAATGAGTAGATTTACTCATCTATGGGCTTTGTGTTTTAGAAGCCTGAGTGAAAGTGACGGTGTATCTAAAAGTTAATTAATGTAGACCAGCCCACACAGTGACACAGTAGTTAGGGTGTTACCCTAATCTTGCAGGTGCATTTCTACACACCTAAATGGAGACATTCAAAGGGTGCAGAATAACATAATTTGATTTTTTTGCATGAAGTCAGCTTAAACAAGTCTCAAACTGTTATAGCTGATAACATTTGAGCAACTCCTAGGACATTGCCCTGGGCCTCACAGCTGTATTGTGTTTTCAGCAACTTCTATGCTTCTAGACAGTTGATAGGCATGGCAAGATCTTAGGATGCTTTTAGAAAACTACAAGCACTTTCAGAACATATGGTACAGCTGCTGTTATGAAGAATAAAATAAAAAACAATGCTAAGAAACTTGCTTTTGATGTGTGCAGCATTGCAACTCGCTGTTATTTGAGGCAAAGCTAGTGTCTTGAACAAGACTTTTTGGAACCTCATTCCACAGATAGATGGATGGTGCTGTTCCCTGTCCAAAAGGAGCTGTGTTCCTTCCTTTACTATGATCTGTTCTGAAGGGGCAGTTTGGGATAAATTGTTAAACTACTGATGAAATTATGGTTTCAGCTGCCTTGCTGCCGAGCACCCCACAAGTGGCTGGGCCTTCCAAGGCCCTGGTTAAATCCCTGGGTGTCACTGGGAACACTGACGTCGGGGAAGTTGTTAGTGTTCTTGCAGTTGCTTATGGGCTGTGTCCTGCATGCGGCTAAAGAGTTAATTTTCTACAGTTTGGCTTCCTTTTTGTGGCTGGTTCGCATGGCTGTGTTTACTGAACAATTCAGTTATGAATGACAGTTGTCAGCTGTTTGTATAAGGTAGAGAGAGATGCTGTGCAAACTATCAACAGGATGTTCCTGGCAGATTTCTGAAGGATTGGACTCCCGTGATCATATCCTAATTGCATTGACTCACTGTCCTCATGGGTCATTTTGTTCAGAGGGACTTCATGCTCAAGTGAAGTTAATCGGACATGGAGTAACTATAGAAGCTAAGCCAAAGGTTGTGTTTTAGTATTTGATGCTCAAACAAGTCTCCTGTGTTGTGGATTTATTTTGATTTGAAGGATGTTCAGGATGCATGCATAAATTAATGGAAAATAAAATACTGGAAATTAAAAAAAAAAAGACAACTTTGTTTTAACTTGGTGCTTTTATTTTAATAGATGTGCCTTCAAGAACAGGACTTCCTCCTCCTTTCAAAAATTACAAGTATGGTATGTGGGTTTTTTTCTTGTTTTAATTCCTGTAAAGTGCAGACATAATATTTTATACCAGTTTCTATACAATTTAGAAGACAACTGCTGTAGAATACTCATGCTGGTGGCAGTGCCTGCCTACATTTGCAATTCTATCCAGCTCTTGTAGCTGGGGTTATGCCACTGGGATCATGTCTACAGAACTTGACCATTATTTTGAAGTTCTGTATTAATCTTTGAATTAGGCTGCATACATTATTTGCTAATTGGTACTGATGGTTTTTGGTATTAATTTTTTATTACTTTTATAAGTGCCTTTTAACTCTGTTTTTACTCCAGTGAGCAGCTTGTGATCTCAAACGCTTTGAGATTGTAGTTCTCTATGTGCTTATGTATTTCAGTATCTATTTACTAATTGTGAAGTCAGAAAGGATGGTGAAGTGGGAGCTGAAGGCAGTAAATGGAAAATGCTTAAGACTTGTATACTTAAATAATTTACACGATATAAGAGAAGCAGGGGAACTTTGCTCAAAGTAGATATGAAAGCTTTTAAATACAAGCTGACGGCATGAAATAGCCTGGTGTGAAATTTAGGCTGACTTTGTCCTCTAAGGTAAAGCTATGTGTATATTTCCTTTTTGTTAAGATTGGCATGAACATATGCAATTCATCTGTTTGGGACAGAACATACTTTCAAAATAGACTAAATTACTTCCTTTCTTGGAGTTTGTTAACTCGGATGTCAGTAACGTATCTTTTCCTAAACTTGGCAATTCTGAAAGTTCCCTTGGAGTTTTGCTGCAACTGATCCTGTCTCCCATGTTCTTGGAGTTGACAAACTCCTTCCTCTACAGTGATTCAAAGAGTTGAATGAGGAACGTACTTAATACATGTGAATGGTAATAGACTCTATTTGCCTATTTAAAAAAAAAAACAAAACCAAGCATTTCATTCTGTGTTCTTGCTGATGGTGAAACAGATTAAGATTTAGGGATTAAGATTTACAATACATCAGTGGCAAGGACTTGAACATTACTATTATTTTTAATATATTACTTAAGGTCTTAAAATCTAGGTAACTGTAAGTTTGAATTTTGAGGTGCCCTTCCACCCCATAATATCTGTGGCTTTGGCTAGACGAGGGGGTCCTATGGAGGACTGCTGCTATCAGTTGTATTCCTGGTGTTGCCTATCCCTACTGCTAGTTCTTTCATCACTTAGAGCATCAGTATAGTTTTTCCCAAGGCATTTGTTGTGGCTGAGCACCTGATTGTGCTGTGTAGGACTGAGCAAAATGTGGGTGAAAAACTGCAGAACTTTGAAACCTGTTACACCAGTTAAGTGGGCGCCTACTTTTAGTGGGATGGTGCTAGCTGTGTGGAAATTTTCACACAGAAAAATCAAAGCCAAGTTCCTCACCTTCCCCTCGGGCTGTGAATCATCCAGGTTCATGTTTTTGGCATCTCTTATGTGCTCTACTGTCTTTCTTGTATTTTGGTGATGAAAGGGCAATGAGGCTTCTGCATGAATAGTGCTAGTAAGAGTCAGATTTTTCCTTCTGCTTTGTTTGGCAGTGCCAGAAATCTCAGTTGGACCTGGCTGTCTCTCACCTTGTGCCTGTTTCAGCTTCCTTCTCTCCAGAATCCAGCGCCACTTTGTTCTCTCAACATCATATATAATGCCATCACATTTTTCCTCTTGGTGTGGTGCTCTAACTCCCATCTCGAAGCTTATGACTTTCATTTTCTCTTCATTTCTTTGTACACATCATTCTTGTCCTTGTTCTAGAACTCTTACCAGTCAATCTTCTCATCTTCCTACCCTGTCATTGCCATCTTTTCACTGATGATGGCAGGCTGGGTGCCAACTTGTCTCATAAGCCGCTTCTCAATTTATTTTTTTTTTTCCATGACTGTGGAGCAATATGGTAGGTACTTCACAGAATCAGACTTAGACAGTGATTTCTTATCTGTTGTCACAGAAGATCTATTAGCAGAAACGGAAAGGTAAAAATGTGGGAATATGATTGAGTGGGACTAAATTGGGATGAAATAGCAAAGGCAATTGAGAGGACATAAGGCTTTTTAGCTAGGATGCGAAGAGACTGTAGTTTCATCTCTGTAACCGAGTTAGGGCAGCCATTTAATAGCTCAGGTAAAGACACAGTAAACTGCTGGATGCCAGTGGCAGAGTTGTGAAGAAGTAAAATTGAGACAATAGTTCAGAGAATGACTGGGCAAAGACTAGAGAAAAGGGGATGTGACAAAGTAGCTGGAGAAGCTTAAAATTAACAGGCAGAGGCTGGATTGTATTTGCTGTGGTAGAAAGGTTTCATGATTGCAATGTATTTTTGCTGTGATTGCTTGGTCTTTTTGCAATGCTTCTATGCAAGATGGATCCGGGAACTGCAATTTAATACGTGTCTTGCTTCTAATACTGCAATTAGTACAGCACGCTAAGACTGCTTTTTCAGTGACCTCTGCAGTGGGAATACAGAGTAGTTTTGACCTTCTGTAATGTTTTAAATAAAATGTTCAAAATGGGCCAGAGTGGTATGGAAGCAAACTTCTGAATGGGAGTGGGATCTCTGTTATTCTGAACATCTGAATACTTGCTCTTGGTAGTTTGAAAGTCGTTTTAGCCTGTATTTAACTTTCTTGCATCCTTCTCTTACCAGACTATTTCAACACGTAGTGTTCAGTTAATGCACAAAACTAGAGCAGAAAATGAGCAGGCAAACCGAACCAGTTTTTGCTTCTTTGCTGGGAGGGGATTGATGTGTTATTCTGAATTTGTTCAAACTCGGAGGCTTTGGAGTTTGGTGGTGTTTTGTTTGTTTTTTTGGGTTTTTTTTTTAGTGCTGCATGGGCATCTTCTGACTTCCCTCTGGATCTTTGCACTCATCTAGTTGCTTTAGTGACCGCATTATTTTCCCCAGTTTTTCCCTTCCGTTAACAAAGCCCTGCCTGCACTGCCAGAGGAAAGCGGTATTTCTTTTTTTGTATAGCATAATTTCTTACACTTGTGCTACACTGCACAAACATATCAGAGATAAATATTACTGAAGAGGGTATAGCATTAAAAAGAGGAGAGGCTGTACGTGTTCATTGAAAATGGACTTGCTTAACAAAATTTCTACATGGGTGCTTTCTTCATGAGAAGGGAAGTTTCAAGGAATGACCTCAAGTGGTCAGGTTACTGTGTCTTAATCACTTGCTGCCTATCAACTTTAGTAGTTGACCGTGCATAAATGCTGTTTGTCCTGTCCCAGTTGCAGGGGCAATGTAAAACCTGTTAGGTTAAAACACCCTAACTGACATTTAAATTGATGTTTTTTGACTGGTGATTGGGATGGTCATTAGTTAGTTATTGTAAGTCAGCCAGCAGACAGAAGCTCAATAGGATGTGGTATCTTAATGTTGGATTGACTGGTTTAAGACTGTAGCTGCAGGACTGGGAAATTAAGATGTTTTCTCCTCTTTTAGACTGAATACACAAAATTCTTGTTAATAAAGGATTTTGAACCTTACCCCTATGTTTGTCCCTCCTTCCCCAAGTACAGCTTTCAGTGTTACCTGCTTATTGAGCCTTATTTTAGGAAAACATTGTATTTTCTTTCAGATACAATGAAGATTATTCACCAAGCACACAAATCTAAGGTACGATTATTAGCTGTATTCTTCCCCTTTTACATGCTTTAATGCAGGCAGATCTCTGCACTGTCAAACAAGGCTCGGGCAGAGACAGTCAGAAAATTCTTATTCTTATCTTCGTATTCTGGTTCTCTGATTTGTAGACTGGTGAACTTGTAGTGAGTTTGGAAGATGATGACAAACTGATTTTGAAAGAAGACAGTACGCTAAAAGCAGCTGGAGTAGGTAGGAGTACATTTGTATTGACTGAAGGTGCTGTTCATTGTGGTTGTCATTAAACTGATAACGGGCTGATTATGTTTGGATAGCCTGCTGAAAAGTAAATGCTATTCCTGATGCTCTTTACACTACTTGATAATTATTCAGGGAAGAAGGGGGGATAATGTACATTCAAATCATTGGACTGAGGGCAGCAGGTATCTGCACTCCAAGTGTTCAGAATGCAAATTGTGATTTTTAGAGAGTATGCTTATAATTCTGCTGAGAGTAATTTTAAATGATTGACAGGTAGGTTATTAGTACCGTGTCTGCTTAGTCTTATCAGTAACATTTAAACTGATGTTTTGGTTAGAAATGTAAGTAGTGGAACCAGTGTGGAATAATGAAATAAGATTAGATTTGTTTAATGTGCAGCATACAGTGCTTGATAGCCAGATTGCTCAGGAAAGCTCAAGGAGTATCATTTAGAGAATGTGCTGAACATAGCAAAGAGTTGAAACTTGACCTGATTTCTCACATTTTGACAGGGGACTACATATAGGGCATGTCTTTTGGTAATAATGTAAAGAAATGTCTGTCATGATAAAATTGATGGTCCCTGGATGTCCTTTGGGCTTCTCATAAATGTGGCTGAATGACTTTGTGGCAGCAGGGTACTTAAGGGATGTAGTTGCATTCCACCTTGGTATGGACATTCGCTCATTTGAATCCGATTTGCCTAGCTGGAGCGCATAACTACCTGCGCTCTAAGTACAGGGGTGTCGGAGAGAAAGCTCCCTCCTGTTCCTGATGCCCTCTGATTGCTCCCCAGCTAGTGAATGGGATTTCTTTCTCATAGGTTTCTTGGCTCTTTTGTTTCCTGCCATTTACTTTCTGGTTTTAAGTGACTTGGGATGTCTCTTTAATGTTTTTCTCTGGGGTGCACTGCAACTGGCCTCAGTACACCTTTCCTAAAGGTCTTTGGGTGTTCCTATAATACGAATGATAGCTATTCTCTGGCTGTTTGTACTAAACCAGGTCTTTTTATCTGGAGGGAAAAAAAAAAAGGTTCCTCAGAAAGGAGGATTACTGGCACTCAAGTCTTATAGATTTGTAATTTAGTTAGCAGAAGATTCATTTAAGCATGATTTTTATCTACCTAAGGCATAAGAGGCAATGCAGTTCAGGAGAGGGACTGATGACAGTGCTGAATGTTGAATTAGAAACAGCATTGTCCAGAATTATCCATCTTTGAAACTAGGTTTGTAGCTACAGCAGTGAAACAGTTGGATGTGATCTCGAAAAAGGTGTCAAAACATCAGAGTAAATGTTACAGTGAAAGGAAATTGGAATAGACTAGCCTGTTCTGTGTCTCTGTATAAAGAGGGGGGTGGCTTATTCAGGGCAGAAAACAATTTAAAGCTGCTTTTTATTTTTGTCAGAATAACTAACAGCAGTTAGTCATTAGTATGTCGTGGGTATTTGTGATAGAAAAGAAAAACTCTTGCTTTGTAAAATGCAGCGTGCCATTATACCATTTTGAATTTTGATATGTTCCAGTGTATCTTGATATGAAAATTAGGTAAGTTAGGAGTGGGGTCTTTGTAGTAAAATCTTGAAGAAATCCTCCTTCTTCAACAAGAAGTGGAAAAGAGTGAACGAAGGAAGTATGATAGCATATACCAGTAGTCCTCATTTTGTACAGTTTAAATCAGTAAGAAGACTTGAAATCTCTTATTGACATGTTATATTTTTCCAATATCTAGTCTGGACAAGATTTAGTAGAACAGAACAGAGACTTGCCGTTAGAAAATCTGGGAAATTCTGAGACACGCTGAACATTTTTTCTAAGCTGCAGTTGATTGCCCTTGGCACTTTACAGGGTTGGGCTAGAGAGTTATAAATGATGAGGACATTAGATAAGTATCCTCAGGAAAGCCTCTGTGGTAGTGATTATTATTACAGCTATTATCTAGTCAGCAAAGTTAATGCTTGCTTGTTGTTTTTAAGAGCACGGTGTATGTTAATAGTGTTCAGTATTCATTGCAAACAGTCCTGTCTGTTTTCTAGTTGAAATGCTAAAACCCCTTCTGCTCTTTTTTTTTTTTTCCCCTTCTTTTTTACAAGACAGGCAGACTTCATTAACTTCAGGTTTAATTTAAAAAACAAATGTGGAACTTACTGGCTCAGCACCTTAAAGAATTCCAAGTTTAATAATTGTGAAGGCTTTCCATCAGATTTGTCTCTGTTCTGAATTAGTAATGTTGCTGACTTATTGTTTTAGAAGACGAAGTCCTTGACCTACTGGGTTGAAAGAATTGTGACTGCTCTGAACCTTTGTGGGTCCTTTAGCTCTGCCATATCCCCTGTGAATAATTAGAGGTATTTGAAGGTATTGCTGGAGAAGCCAATTTGTGTCTTTCACTTTGCATACTGTTGAAGCCTCATGAATTAATCATCAGCAGGGCAAAAAATTAAGTTCTTCAGACACATATTTTGATGGGTCATGAGGGAGAATGTAAAGTGATCTGTAAAATATTCTACTGATCCTCTAAGTATTAAATTATTATACCTACAGGCTAATTTAATGGAAAAAGTAATTTCTTTTTCCCTTTCCTAACAGAAAAATGCACAAAAAAAAGAGAAAATCATGCTTCATTATTTTTCTAGCATTTGAAGGTGTTAGAAATGCAATCACTTAATTTGCTGAATGCTTATACAAACAATTCTGAAGGCTGTGTTAAACAAATCTTGAGGGGTCTTGTGTACATATTTACTTCTATATATTCAGGTTCTTGGTTTGTTGCCTTTTTTTTTTTTAAAAACAAGGTTAAATGACATCTTTAAGGGAGTGTGTGGTGGTTTATAATTGTCTTTGACCAAAAAGTTGCCAATTGTCTTCTAAGATTCTAAATAGCTGTCTGTTGGGTGGTTCATTTACTGGTGTGCTAAATATTTAATTTTTTATTCGTTCTAGCAAATGAGACCGAATTAGCATTCTTCTGTGAGGAGGATTACAGAAACTACAAAGCTAATCCTGTTTCGGCCTGGTGAAGATCCCAAGAGATTGTTTTGTTTTCCCATACCTGTTGTAAATTTTCCTTATTCCGCTTAATGAGATTTTTCTTAAAGATCAATAAATCCTAGAGGATTGCTTTGCAAACAGTGCAATTCCCTTCCTATAGAAATTAATTTCTGTCAATATGCTAAGACTGAGAGAAGGAAAACTGGGGGACATAAATGACACTCTCGCATTTCTTTCCTTTGCTTGCCTCTTACAATGCAGGCAGTGCAATCTCTGACCTGTGACACACATTCTTGATGTGATCCTGCAGCAGACATTAGCTACATACGGAGATTATACAATGCACAGTAAGATCCCATCACAGTACTAACTTCTAATGAAAATTGAAGCGTTTTATGACCAAATCACTGGGTATTTTAGAGAGCTTGAGAAGAGAATCTCTCTGTTTCAAGTCATAGCTTTACTTCTCTCATTTTATGTTTGGTCTCTTTTGTTTAAATGGTGCAGACTGGCAAGTGTTTCATGCTCTTCACTGGTGAATGCTTTCCTTTATACTCTCTTCCAGCCCTCTTTAGCATGCTGAAAGGGACAAATGACTGTTGGGAGGCTTTTGTGTTCAAGGACCAGCCTGCCTGTTGCTAGCTTTACTTCATGGAGACACCTTCATGTATGGGGTAGCAACCTGAGTTCTGCCAGGACGTCAGTGTGGATAAGTAGGAATCGGGCATTTTTCCAAATGGAGTGAAGCTCACGGTTTCGGTTTTAAGAATAAAACCTGAACGATTGCATTTTTGCGAGGAGAGGCCCAGTCTGCAAGCCACATGTCTTCAAGACTGGAATTGATTCTTTCCTGCTTTCCAAGAGCCAAATACTCTGTTGCTATATGTTAATTCTTGGTAATTCCAGGCTTTCCTACTACATTAACCAAATCAAAAATAAGAAAAAATAATCCTGCATCCAATAAAGTACCTTTAGATAGACACTGCTTATTAAACTGCTTTTTAGGGGTTACCAAGGTGGGACGCTGTGCCTTTAAGCCTCTCTTCACTGAAATAGAAGTGATGCTGGCTCTCTGCCTTAGCAGGCTTTTTGGGCAGAGGCTCTGCTAAATCAAATGAAACCTCATGTGCAGTTGCTTTAGACCCACACACATCTACCCTCAGCTCTGGGTGAGAGCTGACAACACCATTTCCACTAGAGACTTTCCAGAGAAGTAAGCTTACCATTTCCTAGAGCTTTGATTTTTTTTTTTTTTTAATTGACATGTGATAGTGAAACACATGTGTGATTTCCAAAGTATCTAAATAAAACTTCTCTTACTTTAGATGTAGGGCCAAAGAAACCTCTATATATTGTTCCCACCTCATTTTCTTCATCCTTCCTGACAACTCTCTGGTTTAGGCTGGTTTCAGTAGCTGGTGTTACTCACCAACAGCTTTGCTTCAGAGTTTTATTCTCTTGCAGAAGTAGTCTACCACTTTGTCATCTGCGATTAAAAGGGTGGTTGTATCTTTATCTCATGAGAAAGAGTCTTGTGTCACTGAAGTCACCTGTGTTCTCTTGGGATTTAGATGCTGTTACGCATGCTCTGATGAATTTGTGCAGAGGACTTACCACTTGCCTCCTCTTTCTGTCCAGGCCGCCTTTCTGTTGCCGGTACCTGCTCCCCAAACATGGGCCTGGGTCTCAGCTACCTTCTTACGCAGTCTGTCATGTTTGCCAGATTAATCTGGCTAATACGAATTTGTACCTGTCTTCACAGACAGTTTAAGCTAATGCATTGTACTCCAGAGTACACCAGCTTTGTTCAGCCAAATTTACAATAATGAAGGTAACTTTGTAAGAAGCAGATGGCATACCGGAGAGATCAATGTCTCAGACTGTCCTACCAAGGCATCTAGATGATGTCCATCAGCACAGTCAGGCTCTCAGACTGAGCAAACACTGTCATTCTCTTCCTCCTGTTTTGGGGATTCGAATTTAGTCTCCAGCCCTTTCAGACAGATTTGGATTGGTTTTGTGATCTCTTTTCTCTAAGGCATTTGTGTTTGAAAGAGTCACCAAATTTTAACAATTGTCCTTTCTGGGCTAGTACAGTTACAAACGTTCAGTGCCACATGGAGTGTGGCACAGTGAAAGAGCAATTCTACAGCATCAACTAGAAAATGGTAAATGTTTTAATGCAAATATTCAAGAATGATGTGTCTGGCACTCCAGATTAGCTTCTCTTTCCAAGGGAAGAGTTAAACTACTGCTCTGTGGCTCTGTTCGCTCTGGCAATGGCACTTCATTGGCTCCTTTATGCAGCAGCACAATAGAGCCTTTTGTAATGCTCTCAGTGACCACACTTGTAAACTGGATTCTTCCTGAAGTGTTTTTCTACTGTGTTTTTTTTCACTGGACCTTTAATAATGCTTCTTTCAAATAAACCCACAAAACCACAGATAATAACTGAGAACTTGTTAAGATAGATGCTATTCCAACATTTTTCGGTGGGGTATGATGTAGCCTTGTGTCAAAGTAGGTTTGATTCCAGAGTCGTCGAGTACTGAATGAAATCTGTGAACACTAGCTAATAAATTACTAAAGACATGTCTTTGCCCATGTTGTTATGAAATTCTCTTTCTATTGAAGGAAACCACCTACAGAGTTTGGTAGTACACACCTACAGTACCATGGTTTGTTATCCTGGTAGAGGTCATGAACTGCATCGGTTTACAATTAGTTAGTCAAAGGTGGCTTCTCCATAATGTGTAGTGGGGTAAATCATATAGCTTTGCTAGTGTTCTTAGACATCGTGGGCTTAATAAGGATTAATCTTTCAGTATGATGTCCTTGGAGCCTTTCACTAGCCTTTTTTTTTTTAAACAAAAAGAACGGCATCCAGAGTGGACGCTGAAGTAAGATGCAACTTTTCGTGGGTTATTGCACTGTAGCAGGGAAAGGCAGTCAAACTGGAAGCCAGGGCGGTGGGGGTGGGGGCTTGGGTGTTTCTTGGAGAAAGAAAATCACTTCAGAGAGACTGGAGTTTTTGTTAGGAGGTGTGGAAGAATAGCTACTAAAGGAGAAGAGAGGAAATGAGGAAAGGAATTACCATGAAGAGGAAGAAGAGGTAACAGTGTCACTGAATAAGCACACAAAATCTTGACTGTACAACACTCTTGGCACAGAAATACTGGAGTAGTGCTGCTTTTTATACCACTAAAGGTGTGAAAATGGTGCATTTTAGTAATTTTTGGGATTGAACTCATAAACTGCTGGAATAGGCATCTTGGTTTTTTCTGGCTCTGTCATGTTACATTTTCTGCATGCAGCAGTTTTTGTGTATTTTTCTGTTAGAGGTAGTTATGTTGCTTCTTGAAGAAGCAAGAGCTAAGAAAACTGCTGACATGGATAGCCGAGTTGAATGTTTACAGTTACCAATGGCATAAAGGAGTCCTCAAAGATCTGATATGCACTACTGTTAAAGTTGGGGAACTGCTTTATCAGATGTAAACATTCTGTCTTAGAGGTGATCCAGAGATAAATTGTAAGCTGTGGTGTTTCTCTTTCACTCCCTGGGAGTATTCAGCACATCCCCTGACAGATCATTTACTTAAAAGCGAGCTTGCAAGTAACAGTCCAAGAGTTACCACAGCCGTGACAGGACATCCGTGGGTCCTGTCCTTGCAAGCTAATAGCCACAGAAATCCTGAGTGTCCAGAGATCAAGAGTGAGAAAACAGAACGTGCGATACTCATTCTTGGTCTCATATGACTGATAGGATCCTGGCTTCAGAGGAACTTCAGCCGGCTGGAGGCATTACAAACGCTTAAGGCAAGAGCACCCTTTTGCTTATTGAACAGTTTGGACTGAGCTCAGTCTTGCTGGTTGGCACCCGATCCTCCTAACCTGACTTTCTTTTCAAAGTACTACTTGGCACAGATTTGCAAGTGATTAATGAATCAAACAACGATGCCCAGAAGACAGTTTTACTACTTTTCATATTATCAGGACATTGACTTTTTCCTACTGCCTACTTTCCTATTGAATTAGATAAACAGACACACCTTTGCATGTTTTCCCTGCCACTTGCCTTTGCTTCTTGCTGCCGCCTCTGCTGATTTGCAGTGCTTTAATGGTTAGGTTTACACCTCATCTGATAGGCCACAGCAGCATTTCCTGTGGCAGTGAATGTACATTTTTTTTAATTAATGGAGAAATATGCTTTGAAATAAAGAGGAGACTTTTTCTACACTGTTACTAATAGTGCACCACAAAGGATCCTTTGTTGCTTTACAGGAGGGCTTGCATAAGACAGCACTGTCCACTGGTCGGTGGAAACAAAAATGTTTTTATCATAATGCTTTGTATCTTGGAAGGAAACGAGAGAAGTTACATCGGGAATGCAAAAAAAATGCAGTGAAAAGCCTAGACCTATTGCCATAAACTGCAGAGAAAGCCACCAGATGTCAGCACAGCCTGTTCTTTCATTCTCCAGAACCTGTGTAAGCCAAGAAATACGTAATGTTTATGAGAAGTGCTTATCTGTGAATTGGTTTAGCCTGCAAAGTCTGTACTAGGGTTCTGGTAATGAAAGCTGAATCCTTCCTTGCAGAAAGTATTTCTTTTTATATTAAAATCAAAAAGCGGCAAATTGAACTGGTATCAGTGCTTAAATTCCTCTTGTTAGAGAGCATCCTTTGCGGAGCCAGTTCCAGCTTATCTAAATCTTTGCATGCTGTGAGGAGTCATTTGCAGAACATTCATTTGAAGAATTGTCTGCCAAAGATCAGCGTTAATTTGCTGAGGTTTTGTAAAGTAGACTTTAAGTATGCCTATTTTTTTTAAACACAAGGAAAACCACCCAGAACAGACACACATGCAAAGCAGAGTAGAACATCTTCAGCTTAAACTCACAACAAATGTATCCTCCATGCTTCTGACCCTAAGCTCCTACTATTTCTTCCTTGTTAGTGCAAGGGCTGAGGAGAAACCTGGCACTGCGTTCCCTGGGCCACGCTTTCTGAGCTGTGATGAGCTGAGATGGGATATGAGTTTCAGAGCCCAAGCCCAAGCCCTGTGCACAGCTTTATGCTGTCAGTGATTGAAGTGTGCGTAGATGCTGCCTCGTTAAAAGGGTAAATGTGAATTG